ACCAATCAGAAGGCAGTGAAAGGGAAAAAATAATGCACATAGTGAAAATAGCATGTCACAGAGCTAGTGTCCTCTTGATAAACTTGAACTACACTACTAGAAGTTAAAAATGCTTAGAGTGTAAGGTATGAAGAACCAAAGGCCTTTGAAGAAAATGTTTCTGAGCACAATAATTTTGAGTGTGTCTACTTTATAGCTCCCTCCACCCCTACACGCACCCACATACCCCTACCTACTTAGCTCTTACTCATCCTTCATTCAGAAATCCTTTTGTCTACATGACTTTCATGACCCTCCAGGCTAGCTCAGGTCCTTCAGCTGAATATTCTGATAAAATCATGTTTTTCTTCTTTTGAATAGTTTCCCTAATTTGTATTTACATATGTATTATATATGATATGATTAGTGGTTGATATTTGTTTTCCTCCATTGCATCAGTAATGCTTTAAGCATTTTGTTTGAGCCATGTACATGCAAGAAAGTATATTATATACTACAAGTCAAATGTATGCATAATTATATAACATATGTGTGTGTGTGTGTGTGTGTGTGTGTGTGTGTGTGTGTGTATTTCACCATGGTAAGTATAACCATTGTTTCTTCTTTCTGCTTACATATGCATACACATATCTGTGTGCATGCACATCAGATTCAGATTCAGCTTTGTTTCACTTAGAACTCAGCTAATTTCCTTTTACACAAGAACTAAACAGAAAAAGTGTCTAGAATACTACTGGAGATAGCGAGGTAGAAGAGAAATAATTTTTAAAGGTTTTTTTTTTTTTCTTTTGGTGGAACTGGGAATTGAACTCAGGCTCTTGTGCTTGCCAGGGAAGCACTTATTTCCTTTGAGCCATCTCCCAGGCCCCAATTTTTAAAAGGTTATTCACATTTGAGATGCAGTTAGTGGGGAATTCTGAAAAACAATGTATTAATTTTCTACCGTTATCGTTTACTTCAAAATACTGCAGGAATATGTAGGTAAATACATTAAATAACATTGGTTAAAGTGATCAATTGCTAAATCAATAATCTTTATCTCTGTTTTAAATGGTTAGTGTAAAAAAAGAACCCTGAGAGTGGCATAATAAAAATAGCACTGCAGGAAAACTCTTCTGGCTTTTGCAAGTGAACACTGAAAAGACTCAAGAAACCCAAGAGTGTATTAACTGAGATATCTATAGAGCACAAGATACAGCATCTAGTGACAGAGGGATCCCAATGTTAATTTTTGTCCTGTTCTGCATCAGGTTAAGCAAAGCCATTTGTGTAAAGAAGTGACTCATGAAAAGTACTTTACTTAAACCCTTAAAAAATAGTGCTTTGTAGTTACATTAAAATTTTCAGGGGCCAGGAGATGGCTCAATAGAATAAGTGCTTCCCTGGCAAGCGCTACGGCCTGAGTTCAATGCCTGGTTCCACCAAAAAAAAAATTTTAAAAAAAAATTCATCTGGCTGAGGATGTGGCTCAGTAGTAGAGCTCTTGCCTTCTATGCCCTTGGTTCAATCCCTAGCACCACCATGAATTAATTAATTAATTAATTAAATTTAAATTTCTCATGTGTTCTTTTTTTTTTTAATTTTATTTATTTATGTGTGTGTGTGTGTGGCCAGCTCAGCCCACCAGGGGGCGGGGCTGGCTGGCATGTGGTGCTGGGGGATTGAACCGTGGTCCCTGTGCTTTGCTAAGCTTGTTCTAAGTAAGTGCTTTAGACCACTGAGCCATCTCCTAAGCCCCTCATGTGTTCTTTTTAAGAGACAAAATCTATTATTTACTGGTGTTATCACAAATATAATTAAAATATTTTATATAAGGTGCAGTCTATTCTGTGTTCCTCAAGCACTTGCTATGAGCAGATGATCATGATCATGATAGTAAGACACATTAGATAAGAATCACTAGTAGTATATGTCTAAAAGCCAAGTAATATATCAAAATTTTCAAAAGAATTAATGCCTTCTGAATCTGCAGAGATTTTTTTCCAGGGCCAGGGATGTAGCTCAGTGGTAGAACTCTGGCCTAGCATGCAAAAAACCCTGAGTTCAGTCCCCAGCACCAGGAGTAAATAGCCAATAGAAGTGTAGTGCAGCCAAGAGTGATGGTGCACACCTATAATTCCAGCACTCTCAAGGCTGACGCAAGAGGATCACTACAAGGTTAAGGCCACCCTGGACTACAAAGTGAGCTCAAAGCCAGCCTGAACTGCAGAGCAAAAACCCTGTCTCAAAAAGACAAAAAAAAAAAAAAGCAGTACAGTGCTGCCTATATATTCTGATTCAGAAATGTTATTTCTGATCACTATTTTTGAAAACACTGCTCTGAGAATTAACATACTAGGTTTTAGTGTTATCTCTACCATTAGGCAGAACTTGTTTTAGGTACCTAATCTTTTTGACATGAGTTCCTTTATTCTATAACTTATTCCTTTCAACTGTATAATGAAGAAAGAAATATATATTCTCCCTACCTCATTTGTATAGGAGGTAGTTAAAATTTTTATCAAAAAAGGAAAAGTATATATCTATTTGTTAGAATATGCATACACATCACAAATACAAGTTCACAGATAAGGTGGTGATTATTTAGGAGGGTAAGCTAAAATAACGTCCTGCTAGAAAAGCATAAGTGTGTAAGCCGTGGAGGGAGAGGAAGATTATGTGCACTTGCACCAAGAAAGGGCACACTGAGGACCCTTGTACTGGGTACTTGGGAGTTATGGATACCCAAATTCAAACCACTAGTAGCAAAGCCATTGCGTAGTCAGAAAATATCTCACTTCTAAAGGATTTGTATTTATTTGAGTGAAATGTTAGAATTCCAATACTAAGACCTTGTTCTTTGCTATAGGTCCATATTGATGTATATTTTTGGTCTCTTCCATCTCACAGCTGCTGATGGCCCAGGAGATCGTTTCATCATTGGGGAATCCCAAGCTGGTGAACAGGTAAGACAGGCCTGAAAGGTACTGTAGATTTCAGTTTCATGGACTTGGGACATCTATTGTCAATCTCTCCTATCAACATTATTGAAATCTCATAGGCTTACTCACAAGGTATCAAAGATGTTAAAAAATGGTTCCTTTAAGAACCAAATGAATTATTTCATTTAGACAGTTTACTGTAGGATATGTTAATTGGGATTGTAGTAATAATTTCATAACCTGTTTCTCAAAATATCCTGTATATCTCAAATATACAGTATATTATTTTGTCTATTTACTCAATAAAAGCAACTTTTAAAAAGATCTATATATATTAACATATGGCAGGATGTTGTGTGTGTCACCCATAAACATACTCTACTAGCGTTCTCTACTCCTACTATTGAATTTATCTTTCTTCCTTTAAAAATGCTAAATTTCTGGATAGAACTAATTGAATCTCTCCAATCACTGTGTACTGAAATAACAAAGCTAGGTTCACTACTATTACCATCCTTCTCCTACATATTTCTTTAACACTTTTTTATTGTCAGTACATATGGAAGCACATGCTAAGAGAGGGAAAGGTGGGAATGGCTTTTGCAAAAACAGCCACCTTTTTAAAATTTTTATTTATTACTATCTTTATTTTTATATATGAGGATTTGATTGTGGCAGTTGAGTATCCTAGCCTAAGAAGAAACTAGGCCTAGCTACTCAGTGGTAAGACCCTTGTCCATGTTCTCCACAGGTTGTGTGTAATCCCTCTGACCTTTTTCTTGACCAAAAAAAAAAGCAACTAGGATTAGCTCTTTTTTATAAGAGACTTACTTTGTGATTTTTAATTTGACTTTTATCAGCGGTGGACATCTACAGCATCCATGTTTTTAACAAGGCTACAAAATACCCATTACTCAAGGACTACTTGCCTAATCTTCAACTGAGTCTACCCGGAATGTATCAAATAAAACTACATGTATACCAGACACTAGGTTCTTGTGATGCAAATTACATTAAAATATTTATTACTCCTAAGAAGTTTATTACTCCTACAGATGAGGTGATATAAATAACTAAATATAGCAGCATATTAGGGGTTAAACTAAAGGCATTACACAAGTGCTATGGAACACAAAACAGAATTTGAGCAGGAAGCCTTGGAAGATTAGGGAAATGGATTGACACTGGGCTTAGAGAGTTTTGCAAAAGCAGCAGTAGGAAAGCATTCTAGGCAGAAAGAACAGGTGTGTTTAAAAACAAATTACCTGGTATACTTAGGGCAGTAGTTTGTAGTAGCCATAACAGAGCAGATTAAGGTTATTGTGGACCTTTTAAACCTTTACTGTTGCTTAAGAGAACTAAGAATTGTATTACTTAAAAACTGTCAAAATTTAAACTGTTTTTATCCTGTACAAAGTAAATAATGAATATCAATAAAAATAAAAAGAAGAAAATGACTGCTAACCTTAGCAAATGCAGGAAATATTTTACATATTACTAGAATGTAGCATTTCAATTCCCTAAGTTCAGTTGCAGTTTATATTGTCTACTCTAATTGGATATATAAATGTTTCCACATCCTTAATGCTAAGTTTAATATATATAAGCTAGTAGGAATTCTTTACCTACCATTTAGAATTGCTGATCTTTTTTAAAAATTTTCTAATTGATAATCACACAAAATAACTTAAGTTGGTTTAAGCCAAGAATAGAGAAAATTAGAAATCAAACTATAATAAAACCTAAAGTAAATTTACAGAATATATTAAACTGAATCTGAATAAATTGAGGCAGGACCATAGGCTAACACTGTTCAGCTTCAGAACAAACTGCCTTGAAATTCACTTTAACCCACTTTACCCAAAAGACATTTTTTTAGCAAATTAAGAATCTCTTTAGGCCTATTTTGAATATGATTGATTGTCCCACAACCTCAGAAGACAGCTTTAACATTAACTGAAAGACATATATATCATATTTAAAATGTTAAATGATTTCCCACCAGCAGTCACTTTACTATAAAATAGTCATGCATAATGGATTGAGATGTCCAGACAGTAAGTAGTATCTAAAATGGAAAACCATCATTTTGAAAAGATACCGGACTCTAAACTTTTCATTTTAAATCTAATACTCAAGAGCAGGGCTTGCAGCTCAGTGGGAGAGGAGAGCATCTGTGTAACATGCTCAATGCTTTTGGTTCAATTACCAGTACAATCAGTCAATCAAAATAGCTGGGTATGGTGATGCACACTTGTAATCCCAGCACTTGGAAGGCCGAACCAAGAAGATTGCTGTGAGTTTGAGGCCAGCCTAGGCTATATACTGAGTTCAGAGCCAGCCTGAATTACATAGTGAGACCCTGCCTCAAAAAAAAATCAATATATAATATTTTGGTAGAAAATTGTCAGGACTAGTGAGATAGCTCAGTGGTCTAAAGAACCTGTTTAGTCAAGCTTAGGCAGGCACGGGGACTGTGGTTCGATCCTCAGCACCACATGCCACACCAGCCCCGCCCTCGGGGTGGGCTAGACCAGCCACAAAAAGAGAGGGAGGGAAGGAGGGAGGGAGGGAGGGAAGCAGAGAGAGAGAGAGAGAGAGAGAGAGAGAGAGAGAGAGAGAGAGGAAAATTGCCTTAAAATATAACAAATCTGAATAAACCTAGAGTGTCTTTTGTTAAATAGCAGAGTAAGAGTATGTAAGGTATATAACTAAATGCTAGATCTGATCTCAAGTACCTCTTCTCCAATGACTGGGAGAAAAACAGGGAAGAAACTTGAATTGTAAGCCATAAAGCAATTTACAGGTCATGATGAACTGAACTAAGATGACATAAACCACAAACATTCATTCAGAAATATTTATTGGGGCTGGGCAAATAGCTCTGTGGATTAAAGTACCTGCAAGCAGGCGCAGTGGCTGGGGTTCGATCCAGAGCCTGCCATGCCAGCCCCGCCCCTGGGCTGTGCTGAGACAGCAATTGAGACTGGGCATGGTGGTGCATGCCTGTAATCCCAGCTCTTGGGAGGCTGTAAACAGGCTTATCACTACGAGTCCGATCTAGTAGTGAGACCCTGAACACCCTGCAGACCCTTCTCTAAAATTCAAAAAAGAGAAAAGAAACATTTATTGACAACCAGCTTTATACAAGAAACTTTCTAGACCTTGAGATGATAGACCAATATAGACTATCTAGAAAAGAAGAAGTCAAGGAGAATTAATTCGAGGGCTATTTCCAAGATATGGACAGCACTGGGGAAACAAAGAATTATAAAGCACCCAGGTGCTCACAACAGTGAATTCTTTTTCAACTTATAGGTCTGAAGGAAAAGAGGAAAATAGTGATATCTGACCCTGAAAAGATTCATAACTACAGGACAGGACCATCCAAAGGAGTGATGGCCTCAGTTAGTAGAAATGCTTAAGCTTCACCAAAGTGTAGCCCAACAGGCAAAAGGCAAGAGAGATGAAAACCCTACTTCTCTTCACTTCCTTCCTAAGTTCTTCTCAACCCCATCCCACTGTCTGAAGCTGACCAGAAGACAAGGTGATGTGAACCTAGTTAAAACAGAACATAAATGTCACCTTTCTGGGCCACAGCAGAAGTTAGAAAATGATAATGTGAGAGCCAAACCGAAAGTAAAGCAAATCTCTGCATTTTTAGGGCTCATGTCATAGAATATATAATGTATTTAATACTATAGCTAGCCTACATTATAGGTTCAAGTAATATATGTTATTGATAGTATCATTTGTATCTTTATACTACAGATAGATTTTAAAGAGTTTTCTTACAACTAAGCATCCAGTTTTACTTTGATTTCTCCTTAACCATTCCTTAAAATATGTATATGTGATTTTTTGGTAGAAAATAAATAAGTATATCATTTAACCTTTTTTTTTTCTGGCACTGAGGATTGAACTCATGACATTATGCTTTTGAGGCAGACACTTAAGCCGCTGGGCTCTCTTCTTCCCAGCCCGTAACCATTTTTTTTTTTTTTTTTTTTTTTTTTTTTTTTTATGTATTTGGCACAGGGTCTCAGACTTTGAATCTCCTGTTTTCAGCCTCCCCAGCACTGAGATTACAAGCGTGTGCCACCATGCCTGGATTCATTGCTGGCTCAGAACACCCAGGAGTGGGGCTGGCTTGGCATGCGGTGCCAGGGATTGAACCCTGGTCTCTGAGCTTGCCTAAGCAGGTTTTTAGTCTGCTCAGCTATCTTGCTGACCCCATTTATCCATTTTTAAGCATATCGCTCAGTAATAATAAGTCTACTCATGTTGTAATGGCAATATTTTTATTTTAAAGAGAATGAAAAATAATAGATTAAAATATCAGAAATGATACAGAATTTCACTAAGCAAAATGATAGGGATTCAACAATGTTTATTACATTGCACATAGTTGTCTTCAAAGTATTGCACGGATTGCCAGATATAAGCATAAAATTGGTCAAAATAAAAAATTTAAGCATTATCTGCTCCCTCAATAAACAAATAGAAATTAGTAGTACAATCATCCCATCCTGTGTATTTACATCTTTCTTTTCTTTTCTTCTTTCTATTCTCTTTTCCCTCATCCCAATTGTTCTTTCTTTTTGAGCAGTTTCTTTCCATTTTACTATGTCTATTATGCCTTTTAGATTTTATTTATACTTTCAGGTTCTTACCCTAGGGAGAAAATACAATGTTTACACATATGGGTCTGACTTATTTCACTTAAGAGTGTAGCCTCTAGTTGCATCCATTTACCTATAAAAGCCTCAAGTTGATCTTTCTTTATAGCTGAGTAATACTGCATTTTATAAAAATACCACATTGCTTTTAGCCTTTCCTCAGTTGTTGGGCCTTTGGGTTGTTTCCAAGATTTAGTTATGACAGGTTATACTTCTGTAAACATTGATATATGTATATTGCTGTGCTGTGATGTTTTCAGTTCTTATAGAAAAATGCCAGGAGGGACTAGCTGGGTCAAATGAGAGCTCTAACTCTAGTTTTTTGAGGAATCTCTCTACTGATTTCCACAGAGGTTATACCAGTCTACGCTCCCACCAACAATGGAGAAGGTTTTCTTTTTCCCCACAGCTTGTCCAGCAATTGTTATTAGTTGAGTTCTTGATAATAGCCTTTTATTGTGGTGAGTGGAATCTCAGTATTGGTTTAATTTGTATTTTTCAAGTGACCAATGCTGTAGAAAATTTTTTCATATATTTATTTGTCATATGACGATGATATTTTAAATCCTTACAAAGTAGATGTCTTTAAAAAGTTGATTGTTTTTAATGGAAAGTTTGTATCATCGCAAGATTTAATTTAAGGAAAAGTTTGAAGCATTCCTTTTTCCAACTATGACCTAATCATGACTCCTGACAAGAGTCTCCTAAGACCTGATCACAACTATCAGATGACTCTTACAGAAATACACTTTCCTTTGTGCTGAGAGAAGACAGCTGGACAGTTCCTCTCATTGTGCCATCAATATGAATACTCAGATCATGAAAAAACCGTATTTTAATTTCAAAAATAATGTTTAACTCAAGTCATTAAAACCCTGGATCATTTATGAATGATTTAATTGTTTCTTCAGCTTTATTAGTAGTTGATATATGGGCTAAAAGGTTTTAGGAAGATATCAGGAGCAATAATTAAAATTATCCTTTATCCTGCTTTATTTAACCAAAAAATTAGTTAAATACTGCATTTGTCAAATATCAGAACTTCTAAATTTATAAAGGTGCTGGTTTTTCATAGTTGTTATTCATGATATCATGTAGTCTTGCATTTTTCTTATACTCTCATATCATTTTACATTAGTTCATATTATTTAAATAAGAAGATAGTACCAAATGTAACTGCCAGTTCATCAAAAGGAAAACAAAGCTCCAAGAAAAAAAATTAATAGTCATTATCTTAAGATACATATGTCAGTTTAAATCATGTTGAAGCCTCTTGAGTGTTTATGTACCTATTTGTGGCTAGCTTCTATTATATTGGCTCAAAATGAAAAAGACTAAGATGTTTCATGTTTGTTTCTAAAAAAAAAAATTTCTAAAAACATTCGTGGCAGGTTTTCCTTTGGAGGGGCTAACTAATCAATTATCTCTTTCATATTTGTACTTTCAGCCAACTCAGACAGTAATGCCGGGACAAGTCATGCGGGTTACAACAGGTGCTCCAATCCCCTGCGGTGCTGATGCAGTAGTACAAGTGGAAGATACTGAACTTATCAGGGAATCAGATGATGTATGTCACCACCAGGTCTCACCCTGCTGTTGTTCCTATGACAGTTTTAGAAATCATTCCCATTTTCTGCCAAGTTGATAAGATTAACCTTATCTATTTGTTGTTATTTGTTGTTACACTGGGATCTTACATTGTAATGTATGGGTCAGGAGTAAGAAATTGCCTCAGGCTTAAAAATCATGTTATAGAGAGGATCTTTTTATGTTGTTGCACAATAGCATTTCAGCCATCTTTAACACAAGAAAATTTACATTCAAAGAAAGAAAAGAAACACCTCACACTGAAAAAAAAAAAATGATATTAACAGTTGACCTACCTTCTAGCTCAGAAACTTGTTGTTGAGACTACCTTCTGATAAAAAGTGAGTATGTTCAAGAAAACAAAACTTAATGATGTAGCTCAGTGGCACAGTGCCTGCCTGGCAAGCACAATCCGTAAGTTCAACTCCAGCACCAAAAAATACAATTCTAGTACCAAATAAAAAAAAAAAGAAAAGAAAAGAAAGAAAGAAACATTATCGCAAAACTTAATAGAGAAGAATCTAACACAGCAAACAACTTTTGCTTCTAGTTTTTTGTAATTCAGAGAAAAGCTATGCTATCAAATGATAGACTGGAAATGTTGAATTTATGTCATTGTCCTTTCCATTGTCTAAAGGACTGTCTTAGTTTTTCTTGTTGCTGAGAGAAAATACCTGACACCCAAAGTTAAAGGAGGAAAGCCATATTTAGTTTACAGTTGTAGAGATTTCATTTCACAATTGGCTGGCTCCAAGGCAGGGGCATGGCAGAAGAGAAACAGTTCATGGTGGACAGAAGGTAGCAAAGCAACAAAGTAGCCAAGAAGCAGCAAGAGGCAGGCCTTATATCTTTTCCCTTGTATCTTCTCCAGCCTATCTGCCCTGCACTCATGCCCTTAATCCTAGCACCCTTAATCCTAGCATTGCTCCATGAATCACTTCCATCATCACAGACTTTAGATCCAGCCACCTCTGAAAACCCCAACAATGACTGCATGAGGCTTTAGGGAACATCTAGACAGACACAAGCAATAACATGGACTTGGGCATGGGGATCTACACATTTCTTTTTTTCTCACTGAAACTAAAGGTACTTGTTAAAACCAAAGTGTTTACCAGTAATAGAGTAGGAAGAAATTCAACTGAGGTTTAAATGGCTGGTAATCTTGCTTGTTTTGTAAAGAAGTTTAAGATATATTTTTAAGCTGTTGTAAAAAACAAATATATATCCCCAAGGTTAAGTAGAGTATAAGATATTAGCAATACTGAGAGTCATTTTTCTCAATCTAGAGAGTTTCTTTTTAATCACTTTCCCACAAGTAGAGCTTATAAAATGCAACTCTTGGCACACAAATCACATTGCCTTTTATTAAAACTGTCCAAACAGGCATTTATTGGCATCAAGAAAAGCCTACTGAAATCCAAAACACATGTATCCTTAGCTGCCAGATGACAAGACACAGTTCAGGTGTCACACACAATATCATTCATAACCTATAAATGTGAATTTGAGGATCACCATTAGTTTACAGAAATCAGATTTCTACTGAGCATGCATTCACTGAAATTTCTACAGGTATTTGGTGACCTTGATGTGATAATGATCCTATCATTTATGGGAACAGAACACCTACGTCCATGTAGCTTCATTTATTTATTAGAGCATATAGATAGATAGATAGATAGATAGATAGATAGATAGATAGATAATACTACTTACAAATTAAATTGAAATTTATACAATTAAGTGATAGCACATCCTTTACAGACTACTCTTAAAATCTAATATTTGAAATTGATAGATTTAAACAGATGAAAATTGGAGAAAATATTTATTTATTTATTTATTTATTTATTTATTTATTGGCACCAAAGCTAATTTTTCAGGAACTTGTATTAGAAAGTCATAGTTTTTTACAAGCTATCAAAAATGGTTTTCTGTCTCTGTATTTGCACACATTCTGGGCCTATCAATAATAATATCAGAGAAACTAAGTTCTACTGATCAGAAATTGTTAAATTTTTCTGTTTGAAATTACATACCCTACTCTGATTGTAGGGCACTGAAGAACTTGAAGTGCGAATTCTGGTGCAGGCTCGGCCAGGCCAAGATATTAGGTAAGTTCCTAACATATGGAATGGATGGCTAGGCTTTATTGGTACTTCATCATAAACTTAGGAGAGTATGACTGCTAAAAATTCACAGCAGTGTTAAATAGCCATGTGCCTTTGAGTTTAGTAAGAAACAAAATATAAAGTTTCTGAATTCCATATCCCAAGTCTGCCCAGCCTACTTTTTGAAGATAATAAAAGTGAAAAAATGATAAATATGAGAAGGCAAAGCTATAAACATGCATAATCATGGGTAAATCTACCTATAGATAATCCAGATTATCCGACCCCTCCCCTAAATTATCTAGAAATTTGTATTAACACATAATCCAAGATTCAAATATTTATGTAATTGTTAGTACATACTTTACTGACTAGTCTTAATAGTGGAATAATCTGCTTCCCTTAAATGAAGCTATGTCCTATCATAAATAGTATATATGCTTTAAATTACTTTTCTTATAATGGAATGTTTATCCAGATTCCATTACTTCTAATTTGTCCAACATCCCAATGTAACAAAGCTATGATTTTCCCATTTCTGTAACAACAGGACAAGGTGAATATACCTCTATGGCTTCAGATCAGGGCCAACCTGGACAGTCTAAATAGAAATTACCTCTGCATATGTATATACTGACATTATTCTCCTCACAGAGCTAACCAGCTGTGGATGTCTAATTAATAATACTCAGTATTTCTGTACAAATCTTTATATTAGAGAAAGTTTGTAGTTTGTACTTTTAAATGCATATAGTGCAAAACCAATTTGTAAAATAATTTTTACAGATGAAGTGATTTATTTATCAGTAACAGAAATACAATTTTTTTTGATCCCTGGTCCCCCATGCCATGCTGGTCCCACCCCCAGGGCATGCTTAGCTGGGGACAGAGTGTGGGTGTGGTGGCATAGGGCTGTAATCCCAGCGTAGGAGACGCTGAACCAGGAGGATCACTACGAATTAGCACTGCAAAGTGAGACCCTGTACCAAATACATAAAATGGAAAAAAAAAAAAAGTACCTTTTTTGTCTTCTGTTGTATGAAGTTTTAAATTTTAAAAAGTGTTTTAAACGTCTTTGATTATTTTGCTCCTGTTTCATCTGTGGCCTTTTTTCTTTCCTTCAGTCTTTCCTTTTCTGACACTTGAGTTTCCCTCTGAGTTAAGAAAATGCTATTCTTATGATTCTACTTTAACTTTCAGACCCATCGGCCATGACATTAAAAGAGGGGAATGCGTTTTGGCCAAAGGAACCCATATGGGCCCCTCAGAAATTGGTCTCCTGGCAACTGTAGGAGTCACAGAGGTTGAAGTTAATAAGTTTCCAGTTGTTGCAGTCATGTCAACAGGGAATGAGGTAAAATAACAATAATAATAATAATAATAATAATAGGAGGGAGGGCTTTCAAGATAAAGGCATTTCTGATGTGTGTTCTGTGTTGTAAATAGAAAATTGTAGATTCTGGACCTTACCAATGGGATTACATTCCTGTAATAAAGAAAATAAGTTGGCCTTGGGATATACTTCAAATACAAAAGACAAAAAGAAGGAAACAACTAGAAATTACATAATAAGAAATATTCCCTTCCATTTATCAGAATGAAGTGTTATAAGCAATGACCTTGCCACATGTTCAGTACACATAAGTAAAGAACATTAGCAGCAAGCTATAGATATCAAACTGTGCAAACTCAGTACTTAATCTGTTGGGGCAATGACTTGTGCTTATCTTGTTGCTGAAATGATGGGCCACTCCTGTGTGAGAAATAAACCAGTGAGTCAGGGTAACTGTGCCTTGCTCTTGTTTAAAATTCCATGTGTTCTTTAACTACCAGGAGGGGCTTGGTAATCTCTCTCTCTCTCTCTCTCTCTCTCTCTCTCTCTCTCTCTCTCTCTTTCCCTCTCTTTCTCGATAATATTTCTAAAGTACACTATTCAAAACTGTTTTAGAAAATAGTTTACAAAGGGAGTTCAATCCATCTTTTTCTGAGAACTCTTGAAAAATCTCTGCATACTATTCTGCCTATGTTGCTAAAAACTTCAGTAAGCAACTCTAAGATCCTACTGATAATAATGAAAAGCAGTTCTGCTGCTGGAAATTTAAAGCCACTGGGCCAGGGAGATAGCAGGGCTGGGGAGATAGCTCAGTAGAATAAGCAGGGCCTGAGGACCTGAGTTCAATCCCCGGTTCCACCCAAAAAGAGAAAAGAAGAGAAATTTAAAGCCTTAGAATAGAACTCAGAAGTACTGAGATTTTAAAAAGTAATTCCTTCAGACCATGTTATTAAAGAACTATGTTTAACAGAGCTATATTTTTTTTCCTAGTCTCTAAGTTTGTACTGATAGTACCTCTTCATTAGCATTTTTAATTTCTTGAGTTCTTAGAAATGAAAATTTTCAAAGGTTCCTCTCGGATTCTTACACTTCTTTAAGATAAAACAAAAAAACAGCACCTTATTTTGCTGACAGAGCGCTATGTCAACATTTAGCTTATAGCCCCACATAGTGCACTGGTCATTCCTGAAATTATTGATTGACCTAAAACAAACATTCTCTTTAATTTGATCTGTACAGTGATGATTTTAATATTCCTAGGACCAACTAGCACTATATTGAGCATCAGGAAGAAATGTCTGTTAAACTAATTAAACTATTCTGATTTACTCAAATGTTTTGTGCAGTTAAGTTCATGGGGCTTGGAAAAGCTACATAGGATAACCAAATTCATAAATATTAATAGAAAACTTGATTTGGGCTGTGTTTTCTGTAGTGCTAGAATAAAATTGTTGGCTAAACCCAGAATATATTAGTAACATTTTTTAAAGCCACCTTTTACATGCTATTAAAACTGTTTACTGGTTATAAAGATGATAAAGCTTTAATAGAGATGATGTTTATATCATAGAGTCTAAAAAGACTTTGTGGCCTTAGTTCCTTATTCCCACACGCCTCATTATCTTCAAAGACATTTTGAGTGATTCTGCATGACTCCTTTCTTTGTCCTGCTGTACTTAGCATGGCTTTCAAGGGAATTAATATTCTGAATTTATTTATTTCCCATTGTAGGCATACTAGTCATTCTCTAAAACAATGGATTTACCCAAACAAACATTCTTTTCATTTAGATATATGTAGCAATGGTTTTATTATCCCTAAGACCAACTGGCATTATATTTGACATAAGAAAGATTCGCTTCTAAATTCTATAGTCTCTGGTTCCATATTGCTCAACATTCATACCCTCACTCTCTTCAAAATTAGCTTTTGTCATGACCATATATTATAGTTTAGTTCAACAAATGATTCTTGGGTACCTCTGTGCCAGACATAATATTTGAAATTGCTGATGAAAGAGAGAATAAAGCACAGTATCTCTCCTGATGGTTTGAGGTTCTCAGATATATAGAAAACTGTAGCCTCTCCCCACAGAAATAATTTTTTTCATTTACTTCCAGAGACAAAAAAAAAATTGTATTTATCTGTTACTGTGGCAAGTGGTCCACTTATGTGCTGATTTCCCTTGGAATGTTTAGTTTCACATGTATCTACTTCTTAAAACAAACATGATATGATAAGTAATATAATTACCTTGAGCAACCCAAAGATGAGAGAATTTCTTTCACAATTAAGGGAATAGATTTATCAACTGTAACACAAAGTAACAATTTAGACATTTGTTGATTTCAACAAGATATATAGAGAGATATAATAGATATATATAGATATATATATACATATATATATAGATATATATATATCTTAAAACTTAGATACCATTAAATGATTATGGGCATGAGTTGCCAGCCTCATGAACTTGTTCAGTAAGTGTATGCCAAGCATCTGTTGTATGTTATAATGCCCACTAAAGGGTTCCCTTAACTAAGCATTCAGATTTGAGGGCTGAGACTGCAGAACAGAGGTAGAGTACTTACAGAGCACATTTAAGGCATTGGGTTGAAACTCTAGCACCACAAAAAAGAAAAAGAAAAGAAAGAGGAGGAGGGAGGGAATGATGGAAAGAAGGAAGGAAGGGATCAAAGAATCAGACCAATAAGATGTTGAATAGATCATACTTTGAACCCATTTACTTGGAAAGGTATCAAACAAGAAACTCAGATCCAGCAGAGTAATATCAGCAATTTTTCAGAGGAACTAGTATTCTTAGCAGTTCCCATAGCCATCCCTAGCTGTTCTATGTATTCTCCAAGTGACAGCTAGGCAAAGGGGACAAGACTCATAGTAGGAGAGTGTGGCTTCTGACTCACAAGCCTCATGTTCTGTAGAAGAATCAATATTTCTTATAGCAATCTTAGGTAGCTTCTATGTCCTCTACAAGGTAAATGTCTATGTACATGTATCATCATATATATGAACACCCAAAGCTGTGACTTCCCTCTAGGTGTTTGTAGTTCATTTATAGTATCACCCAAACTATGTGCTGGCATCATTTTTAACATAAACAGTATTGTCTAGCCAAGTATGGTGGTCCATTCCCAGAATCCCAGCACTCTTGAAAGCCAAAGCAGGAGGGCCAGAAGCTCAAACTCAGTGTGGATGACTTAGCAAGACCTATCTCAAAATAGAAAATTTTATGTGCCAGCCCTGCCGCTGGGGCACACTGAGATGGCATATGAGACTGGGCATGGTGGCGCACGCCTGTAATCCCAGCGCTCTGGAGGCTGAAAAACAGGAAGGATCACTACAAGTCTGACCTGTGTGGTGAGACCTTAGAGACCCTGTACTAAAAAAATAAATAAATAAATAAATTTTAAAAGTGTGGGAATATAGCTCAAAGAGGGAGGGAGGGATGGGGAGAAGAAAAGAAAGGAAGGGATGAAAGGAAGAAATTGCCTAGAAAAGTGATGATACTTTATCAAATTTCTAAGGTAACAGAGCTAGAAACTGAGCTAGGTAATAGATTGTCTATGATAAGCTTTTTAAAATAATAATAAAGCTGACTAAAAATTGGTGTGCTTTTTATTATCACCATGCACTGGCAATCCTAAACAATGTCAGTAATAAGAATATACCTGTCCCGTAGATTGTACCACCCTTTCCCACTCGGTATGCTGCTCATGCCAGGCAGTGTTCAGATGAGCAGCAAGCAAGACTAATTCCCTATTCATACACAATTTATTTTCTATCCCATCAATAAATAAATAGTGATAAATGGTATGAAGAAAAATAAAGACACTGTGATAAAGAGTGTCAGTAGAAGAGGTATGTACCATATATTATCTATTGAAACTTACCCAATTCACCTCTTATATGCTGTCCCCCATAGGAATCCGTCTGGAAACCTAAAAATTACATGTACTAGGCTGTGTGGCTGTGGTCTACTTAGATTCTGCCACCTACATCCATTCACATGATGTGAGAAGCTCAAAAGGTAGAAGCATCAGCAGAATAGTGCCGTCAGCTCCATCCTCCTGCTCCACCCACTGCCAGCTTTGCAGATAGTGTCTTCACGCAGTCACACCTTTGGAAATATAATTTTCTCCTTTTGCCCTTCCAACTTTTACAACACATTTATAATGAATTCCCTGCATTAAAAGCTGTGTTTCCCCACTTCCCTCTGGTTGAAATATGTAGAAGAGTTTTTATTTTATTTTCTAGACCTGACTGATGAAGCATCCTGTTACAGACAGGGTAAACAAGAATGAGATGGAATTTTAAGGCATTGCAAGTACATGCCATATGGAACACCTGTGTTCTACACAGGGAGAGCAACAAAAGTTGAATCCCTGTTTATCATGATGCATGAACAGTAGGAGGTCAGTACACCAATAAGCAAAATTAAACATGCTGAATTAGGAGAGGTAAAAGAAGCTAGATCATTTTATCCTAAGAGTCACTTTTGAGGTAAAGCAGTTCGGAACGTAAGAAAACATAGTATGTCTTAGATTTTTAAGAAAACTGTGGCTTTCATATGGCATGGCATGTAGTAGGAACAACAGGAAAAGGTAGGACACTAGTAGAAAGCTATTCAGTGCTATAGTAAAAGATTTGGACCAGAAAGTAATAGTAGAGATGGTGAGAAGTAATAGACCCAGAATATTGTTTAATAGCAAAGCTAACAGGACTTTCTGGGGATTAAAAGTAGGATATAAGAAAATATAACAGTCAAAATAAACTCAGAATTTTTCCCTGAGCCTATCTATGGATATTTGTTCACCAGAAAGGTTAAGTAGTAGAAATCAGGGATTCTAGTCAGGCACAATGGTGCAACGCCTGTAATCCCAGCATATGAGTGACTGAAGAAGAAGGATCACTGTGAATTTGAGGCCAACCTGGACTACAGAGTGAGTTTAAGGCCAGCCTGAGTTGCATAGCAAGACTGTGTCTTTAAAAAAATA